TAGGTTCGAATTTCTGCCCAGTAGCTCCCCAGGTTTTCTTTTAGAAGCCCAGGGTGAAGGCCACTGATTCACAACATTCTGAGTTATGTGCTGCCATTTAATCTGGGACCATCAACCAGACAACATTTTGAATACTTTTGTCATAAAACCTCAGTCTTAGGATGTGATTGATTGATTTTAGGGAATGGTTACTAAACCTTTCAAATTTTGAAACAAGGTTGTCTTCAAAGACATTTTTCCTATCAACCCGATAAAATTCAAAATGAGAAAAGAATTTGCATTCACTGTTGTGATTTCCCTCTACTACCAGATAAAATTCCTTATTCATTCATTGTTTTATGACACTTAAATAAGTTAAGAAGAAAGTGACTTTAAAAAAAGAAAAACAGTATTAATCCATGCTAGGGATGACACTTGCTTTCAGTGACATACGTATGTTTAGTTGGGAAGATGAGGGATTATGGAAACCATGTTAGAATACCTCAGATAAAGTATTCACCACAGATGCTTTGTCAGCCTTTCAAACTGGCTGAAATGAATCTTTCAGAAAAGAAGCCAAAGAAGATATTTTTTAAAATTCTGTAAGTGACACAACTGAAGCAAGAGGTTAGGTCATTTTTAATGACCTAACTAGGTAGGACCATAGAGAAATTTGGGGCACTTACTCTGAACTATTCACAATGCTTACAAGGCAGAGATCTGAAATTGTGAAGGACTTCAACTGCCCTATGTTGAGTGCTTCTATTATGTTTGGTTTATGTAGTTTGTTTCATCCCCCAACTTGAGATCAGATAAAGTCATTGATATTTTGTCATATTTTCTTCCAGCTTTATTGAGGTAAAATTGACAAAGTTACATATATTTAAAGTATATAATGCGATGGTTTGATACACGTATACATTCTGAAATGAATACCACATTTGGAGAATGAATCTGTCCATCACCTCACTTAGTTACCCTTGGGGGCGAGTTGACAGTGATGAGGACGGTTAAGATCTGCTCTCTGTAAATTTCAAGTATATAATATGATACTATTAACTATAGTCACCAACCTCCGAACAACCTATGCCAAGACTACACCAGCCAAAGCGCAACACACAATTGACCCAATAACTTGACCAACGGAACAAGTTACCCTAGGGATAACAGCGCAATCCTAGAGTCCATGTCAACAATAGGGTTTTATGACTTAAAAATTTTTAAATATGAGGACAGTGCAGTAAGTGTAGAGGATTTTTTTTTTAGCAGTTAGAGTTAGATTGTTATCAGCTTAAAACAGCCTGTTATCACTATAAGATGGGTTTTGTAAGTCTCTTGGTAATCATAAAGGAAAAGCCTAAAGTAGATTCACAAAAGATAAAAAGTAAGGAATCAAAGCATGACAGTACAGAAAATAATCATAAAGGAAAGGAGAAAGGGACAGAAGCAAAAGATCTACAAAACAACTAGAAGCAATTAACAAAATGGCAGTAGGAAGTTCTTACATGTTAGTAATTACCTTGGAATATAAAGAGATTAAATTCTCCAAAGACCTGCAGTGACTGAATGGATTTTTTTAAAAAGAGCCAACTATATGCTTCCCACAAAAGACTTGAGTTGTGAGGACACACATAGACTCAAAGTGAAGGGATGGAAAAAAACATTCCATGCAAATAAAAACCTCCAGCAGATTGCATGTAGTGAAAAAAAAAATTCATCCTGCTTTAATTGAAAATGCTTTGTTGAGAGATTTGCAGTCAGAGGCAACCTGCTTATATACTGGCAAGTGTAGAAGGGGACAAGATAGACAAGACATGCTCACTAATGAGTCTACCTGAACCCCATACCTCAGAAACATAGGGCACAGTGAGAACTTTGGCATTCGACTTTTTAAGTGTCCAGCCAAAAGGAAAAACTAAACAAATAAAGTCAGGCTCCAATTATTAAGCAAAAATATTAAGAAGGACTAAATGACAAATAAAAAGAGAAAGAATTTAATTAGGAATATGACATGTCCTTGGACCAGTAGAGGAGATGAGGTCATCCAAGCATAAGGTCAAGATAAGTTAATAGAGGAAGAGTGATATTAGTATTCAAAACCCAAAGGGAATTGAGAGAACAAACATCAGATTTCCCAAGAAGGTGTGAAATAATGAGGTAAGTCCTACATTTTTCTAGGAAGGAATCAATAGGTTTAAAAGGAAATTCAAGTATAGATGTAAGGACATGTTATTTAAAATAGAGTGAGTGACAACAGAAAAAAAAAAATTTAATTTTGATTGTAGGGTCGGGGTTAAAGAATGTTGCTTTGCCTCAGAAGCTATGTTAAACTATTTGGTTTGTTACCAAATGCTTTTTTTTTTTCCTTTTGGCAAAAAAACATTAACCATACTCTGCTTTAAGTTCTAACAAGTGCAACTATATTTCTATTAAAATGAGTATGCACTTTTGAATAAAATAAAATTTAACATGATAACATTTCTGTTTCTTTGTGTAAAATGCTGTTTCTTATTTTACAGCTTCTAAAACCACGGGAGAAAAAGTTGGGACTAGGTAAGTCGCGGAACCTCTAACCCCTCATGCCTGCTACTTGCCTGGTGACATGATCCAGTGTGTATTTGCCCAGTTTGGAATAGGGCCAAAATACAGTAACTTACTGTGATGGTTTTTAATGATCTTAATGACATTTAAATGGTATAACTTGGGTTGCCTGTATAAGTCAAGGCCCACTCAGGACGATAGAAACCACTGTAAGTCTTTCGGTGTAGGGAATTTAATACTGAGTCGCTGGTTACACTGGTGAAGGAGTTCCTGAGAAACCAAATGGAGCAGTGAGGCTACTAAGATTAGTAACAGCTGGAGGTCACTGCCACCCCTAGGGATGGAGCAACAGCAGGAAGAGATGTTTTAAGAGCCTAAGAACCTGGGCTGCCCAGAGGGAGCTAGAATGATGGGGTGGGGGCTGCCTCGCAGGAGCTAGAACTGTGGGAAATTCCCAGTCAGAGGTGAGGGTTTCTCCATGTTGGTCAGGCTGGTCTTAAACTCCCGACCTCAGGTGATCCACCTGCCTCAGCCTCCTAAAGTGCTGGGATTACACACGTGAGCCACCGCACCTGGCCAATTTTTTGTATTTTTAGTAGAGATGAGGTTTCACCATGTTGGTTAGGCTGGTCTTGAACTCCCTGACCTCAAGTGACCACCCATCTCAGCCTCCCAAAGTGGTAGGATTACAGGCATGAGCCACCACACCCAGCTGATACTCACTTCTTAACAAAATAAGTTAGAAGAGTTCAGCCTTGCTTATAAAACACCTGTGAGGTGTCTGGACTAGAGAATGCAGGAATCCCCAAGTCCTGCTCCTGACCAGTTACCCTAGCCTGCCAAGTCCCTGTGGGACTTTGAGGCATGGAGCTGGCTAAGTAATTGTCAGCAAGGCCTTTGGCCTCAAATACCAGAGCAGGGGTCTAGCGTACCAGGCGTACGGTGTAAAAGACAGTGTGTGGCTTTTGTGGAAGTGGACTTAGAGCTAGGAAGAGCAGAAGCAGGGAGGCTTGTTAGGTAGTCATCTAAGCATCAGAAGGTAGCACCTGGAACTAAGTGACGATCGACAAGAAAAAGGGAATTGAAATGTTTTGGGTGGTGAATCAATAGGACTTAATTATAGTTTAGAAGTTATGGTTAAAAGTAGGAAATCAAGAGTCATCTCTAGACCTGTGGATGGAGCAATTGGATAGTTGGTGCCATTTCCTGGAGAGGTGGCCTGTAAGAGAGAGGTAGAGAATTGGAAGATGATTTTGCGATGTTATCTTTGAGATTTCTGAAATACCCACAAGGAGATGTTAAGTAGGAAGCTGATTTGTAAATGTGGAGCTCTAAGGAAGGGTCTGACTTCATCAGTCTCTTAGGGGGACGCTAAGGAAACACCAGATGGGTTTTTAAAGCATGAGAATGTGATAATTGCTACATAATCTCAGACTTTTGAACTTATAAACTATTTGCTCAACTGAAATAGAGGTATGATCTCTTCTATTAAATTGACATCTGAATGGGGGTGTGTGGCCAGCTACCTTCTTGATTATATATGTAATATACATGAACCTATGTACTTAAGGTGAAAAATACCGATTTATTAATACCACTTTTAGAGGACTAATGTATGCTCTTCAGGTGCTAAACAGTTTCCTCCACGTTCAAATGTATATGTTAAGATTTCTGTTGACTTTCTTGAATGGATATACTTTCATTTTTAGGAACTGCATATATTCATGGAATGAAACATGCCACAGGAAACTACATAATTATTATGGATGCTGATCTCTCACACCATGTAAGTGGTATGTTTCTTTATTAGCTATTTATGATAATCTTAGCCTATTTTACTGACTTTACTGTTTATTCTTTCCAAATTTCAGCCAAAATTTATTCCTGAATTTATTAGGTAGGTACTATTTCTAATATTTGAAAGAAATATGACTGGAACCGTTTATCTTACTGGTTTTGGGCTTATTTTCATTTTTTATTAATCAAAAATATACGTACTTTTTTTTTCTATCAAAAATATAAACAAAGCTTGGGAGGTCAAGGCAAGAGGGTTGCTTGAAGTCAGGAGTTTGAGACCAGCCTGGGCAACAAAACAAGTCCTTATCTCTACAAAAAAAATAACAAAAATTAGCCAGGCACAATGGCATGCGCCTGTAGTCCAGCTACTCAGGAGGCTCAGGTGGGAGGATCACATGAGCCCAGGACTTGAAGGCTGCAGTGAGCTATCATCATGCCTCTGCATTCTAGTCTTGGTGACCCTGAGACAGAGTGAGACCTTGTCTCTAAAATATTTATCTGTATAGATAGTAGACACACACACATACAACACACATTTGAGACTAAATGATGTACTTTAGGAGTCCTGAGGAGCAAATCAATAGGTAGTTCCTTTGTTAATCTGAATTCTTTCAGACCACAGAAAAAGGTGGAAGACGGCTTCTTTGATAAATGGAATTAAGCCTTGAGTTATTAGAGTAAAACACCATGAACAAAAGAGTTTATTCCAGGAATGCCAGAATGGCTCGTTATTGGTAATCACTCATAATTCATTCATGAGTAGTGTGGTTAACTCTGTAGATGCTAAAAGAGATATTATTTACTACCATTTTCTAGTTAAAACTTTAAGAATAGAAGGAAACCTCTTAAGCATAATAAAAATAACCCAGTCCTAATACAAATATCACACCAAATAGTGAAATGCTGAATCATTTCCAGTAAATTCATTAAGATAGGCATGCTAGCTATCATTAAACATGGAAATGTTAATACAGTAACGCAAGAATTTAGTTAAATATTAGTAAAGTATACATAATTTATTTGTAGGCAATATAATTATATTCTTAGCCCAAAGATCACAAAACCTCTGTGAATAAGATTTTGGAAGCTGTTCTGAGTTTAAGCTAGATACACAAAAACAATCAGATTATTGGCCCTCCAGTTTAGAATAGTTCAGGGAGTTCCTGCTAACATCTAGGGAAAAATTCAAGCTCATTCCCTTGTCCCTCAAGCCCCTATGTGTTTGTTGGCCTCTGCCTCCCTTTCTGACCTCTGTCTTGTGCTCCTTCCTTTCCTTTCCATGCCATAAGCATGTTTCTCTGCCTGAAATGCTATTTCCATGCTCTTGATGACTGTCTGCTGCTCATCCTTCGATCTCTGCATAAAGTCACCTTATACCTTTTTTGCTTATATCTCCAGTGCGCAAAAGCCTCTTTAACCTGTAGAGTAGAAAATGGGCAAAAAGATACAAACAGACCATCTATAGGAGAAATCCAAATGGCTAATAAAAGAAGACGGGATGGGATGTAGTCAAGGAAATAAACACAAAATAACTGCGTGTTACCATTTTATTATCCATTAGTTTAACAAAGTTAAAAACTTTCAGAGCAGTAATATCCAGTACCAATAAGATGGTAAAAAATGGACACACAAATATAAGTTGCTATAACCCTTTTGGAAAATATGTGTTCGAATTTGGGAAAACACGTGTTAAAATTAAAAATACTCAGGCTTCATTTGGGCAATTCCAGTATATTCCATTTTGGGGAGTCTAAGCAGTTTATAAAAATGTTTATTGTGGCCAGGCACAGTGGCTCATGCCTGTAATCCCACACTTTGGGAGGCCGAGGCAGGTGGATCATGAGGTCAAGAGATAGAGATCATCCTGGCCAAGATGCTGAAACCCCGTCTCTACTAGAAAAACAAAAAATTAGCCAGGCATGGTGGCACTTGCCTGTAGTCCCAGCTACTTGGGATGCTGAGGCAGGAGAATCACTTGAACCCGGGAGGTGGAGGTTGCAGTGAGCCAAGATCTCGCCATTGCACTCTAACCTGGCAACAGAGTGAGACTCCATCTCAAAGAAAAAAAAGAAAGGTTTATTGTAGCACTGTTTATTGTGGTTGAGAGGGTGGGGCACCATGAAGACAACCACAGAGGTGTGTGAGTTGAATATTCTGTGAAGTAGTTTTGCAACTATTAAAAAGAATGGGAAAGAGCTCTCTTGACCTATAGGGATGTCTATGATTCCATGATTTGCATTGTTTTTGTTTTATGATGGAAGCTCGATCTGTCATCCAGGCTGGAGTGCAGTGGCACAATCTCAGTCACTGCAACCTCCACCTCCCAGGTTTAAGCAGTTCTCCTGCCTCAGCCTTCTGAGGAGCTGGGAATACAGGCATGTGCCACTAAGCCTGGCTAATTTTTGTATTTTTAGTAGAGATAGTTTCACTATGTTGGCCAGGCTAGTCTCGAACTCCTGACCTCAAGTGATCCACCCACCTCCCAAAGTGCTGGGATTACAGGCGTGAGCCACCACATCTGACTCCATGATTTGTATCGTTAACTGACAAAGGCCAGGTCACAAAATGTACTTTTTTTGCATTCCAATTTTGTAAATGCAGACAAAAATCCTAGGGGTATATGTGTGTCTTTATCTTTCTGTAGGCAAAGAAAAGTGTGGCAGGACATCAGGCTGTTTTTTAGTATTATTTGCTTCAGAGAAGGCAAGAACAGAATGGAAGGGTATTGGGGAAATTGAGAGACAAGGTCTTCCATTGTCACCCAGGCTGGAGTACAGTGGCACAATCACAGATCGCTGCAGCCTCAACTTCCCTGGCTCAAGCGATCCTCCCGTTGCAGCCTCCCAAATAGCTGAGACTAAAGGCATGTGCCACTGTGCCCGACTTTTTTTTTTTTTTTTTTTTAAATGGAGTCGCCCAGGCTGGAGTGCAGTGGTATGATCTCGGCTCACTACAGCCTGCCTCCTGGGTTCAAGCGATTCTCTGCCTCAGCCTTCTGAGTAGCTGGGATTACAGGCGCCCGCCACCACGCCAGGCTAATTTTTATATTTTTAGTAGAGATGGGGTTTCACCATCTTGGCCAAGCTGGCCTTGAACTCCTGACCTTGTGACCCACCCGCCCCGGCCTCCCAAAGTGCCGGGATTACAGGTGTGAGCCACTGCACCCAGCCTGTGTTGGCTTCTCTTAAAAGTTTTGTGTAGCTCATGAAAATGATGTTGAAATGGCTTTTTCTAATTGACAGCTAATTAATTCTACAGGAAGCAAAAGGAGGGCAATTTTGATATTGTCTCTGGAACTCGCTACAAAGGAAATGGAGGTGTATATGGCTGGGATTTGAAAAGAAAAATAATCAGGTAGGTACATGTGTTACAACTTCTTTATTAGTATAACTACTGGAAGTGTATTCATAGCAAGTATTTGGATTAGCTATCATGCTGCCTGGGATTTGTGGGATCAGGTTATAATTTCCGGTAAATATTCCCAGATAGTTCCTTACAGTTTTTCCTGTGATTAGAGCCTGGATGTTTTTTATTAAGGAAAAATCAGTATAAACCTTTGGACCTTTGGTAGAAATGGCCTCATTCAGCAAAAGTTACTATACTGGACCTCCAGTTTTAATTTATGTGACCTGTCCCATACTTGTAGACTAAATATGTAGGGTTTCTCTCCATAATTATAGTGTTATTTTAATTAAGATCGATTTCAGACAGACCTGGGTTAAAGTCTCAGCTCACTGCAACCTCTGCCTCCCGGGCTCAAGCGATTCTCCTTTCTCAGCCTCCTAAGTACCTGGGACTGTGGACACGCGCCACCATGCCCGGCTAATTTTTGTTTTTGTAGAGATGGGGTTTCACCATGTTGCTCAGGTTGCCCTCTAACTCCTGAGCTCCGGTGATCCGCCTGCCTCAGCTTCCCATTAGCTGGGACTACAGGCACGCACCACCATGCCCAGCTAATTTATGTATATATATTTATGTTTTTATATATATGTATTTATGTTTATATATGTATTTTTATATATATATTTATGTACACTTTTTTTTTTTTTTTTGGTAGTGATGGGGTTTTGCTATGTTGTCCAGGCTGGTCACTCCTGGGCTCAAGTGATCCACCCATCTTGGCCTCCTGGGATTACAGGTGTGAGCCACCGCACCTAGCCAGGTCTCCTTTCATTGACCAAAAATTTCTCTTTTGTTCTAGATAAATAACATTTTTATGAAATTAATGTTACATTTATGAAATTAGTATAGCATTTTAACACTGTTCTTCAATGTGTTTCTCTTGTTTATAAATTGTATTTTGTAAAGAAAATCTGATTGTTTTATTTGGCAGCCGTGGGGCCAATTTTTTAACTCAGATATTGCTGAGACCAGGAGCATCTGATTTAACAGGAAGTTTCAGGTACAGTGAAAATTTCCACTATTTTTATATAACTTCTTGGCTGACTTTCTTTACAATGGATATTTTAAAGAAACACTTTACATTTCCACCTTGTATGCATACTGGGATACTAAAAAGGCAGACTAAAATTCCTAAAAGTTGCTAATGAAACCTAAACATATCGGGAGACATATTGTGCTTTTCCTTGAAAAAGTTGAAGGCAGTTAGGTTTGTGTGCTTTTTAACATTAGTATTAAAGCTCAACTGCTCTTTGGAACATTGCTATTACTGATAATTTGTTCCAAAGAACAGCACATACTTCAGTAATTTTCTGCATTTCATATGAATACTAACAGCATTGTCCACAGAAAAGGTTAAACTTCTTAATATTTATATAGAGCTCTCTCACTTACCTTGTTCTCCATGTTTAAGGAAATTTTTGTTGTTGTTTAATTTGGTCAAAGCTTCGGTCCCTCTGAGAGTTCTGTGTGTCTGTTTCTGGGTGTATGGGGTGGTGGTCTAGATTTGCTGTAGTAGATGTGAGCTGCTTTGTGTGACTGACCATGGCAAATGACAAAACTTGCCAGATGTTTTTTTTAATCTCTGAAACTATAAAATGCCCCTGCATCTACTTTAGTGGCCCCAAGCCCCCCATACATTACTTAATAATTTATATTCGTTGATACTTTTTTCCACTAAATAATGTTGATTGTTCGGTCCTTTGCTTGATGCAGGAAAATTTAAGTCCTTAAATGTGAGAATTGACACGCACACACACAAATTAGGACCTGGCTGTTGACAGTCAAAAAGAAAAATGAAGCCTCTCTGGAACGAAAAAGCAAATAGACTGGAGAGCTGAACTTGGGGATGAAAGAGAGGGGAGGCTATACCCTAAGGCTAAAGAGTCATTTGTGATATGATGAAGATCTCTGATTGCGGATGGGCGGTGGCTGGTGGATGGGCAGTGGCTTGCGCCTATGATCCCAGAACTTTGGGAGGCCGAGGCATGTGGATCACTTGAGGTCAGGAATTTAAGACCAGCCTGGGCAACATGGGGAAACCCTGTCTCTACTAAAAATACAAAAATTAGCCGGGTGTGGTAGCGTGTGCTTGTAATCCCAGCTACCCAGGAGGCTGAGGCAGGAGAATCGCTTGAGACCCAGAGGCAGAGGTTGCAGTGAGCTGAGATTGCGCCACTGCACTCCAGCCTGGTGACAGAGGAGGACTGTCAAAAAAAAAAAAAAAAAAAAAGCTGGGCATGGTGGCTTATGCCTGTAATCTCAGCACTTTGGGAGGCTGAGGCGGGTGGATCACAAGGTCGGGAGATCGAGGTCATCCTGGCTAACAGTGAAACCCTGTCTCTACTAAAACTACAAAAAATTAGCCGGACATGGTGGTGTACCTGTAGTCCAAGCTACTCGGGAGGTAGAGGTTGCAGTGAGCTGAGATCGCGCCACTGTACTCCAGCCTGGGCAACAGAGCAGGACTCCGTCTCAAAAAATATATATATCTCTCTCTCTCTGATTGCCACGTGGCAACAATGCAAAGAATAGTGGCACTCACAAAATCTCTCTACAGAGGGAAGGGCCAGTGTGGATTTCACAGGCCACAGTTTTGATGGTTTTGAATAAAAACTCAGGGTAACTGGTTGTGGAGATAGAGGTTGTGAAGAAAAACCCACACGGAGAGGAATGGGGTGAGGGTGCTTTGCTGCATCAGAACCTTACAAGGATTAGTGGAGGGGATGGGGTTGAAGGATGGCCTGGGAGTTCTGGATTTTCATATATTGAGAGCAGTGATTAACTGTGTTCTGTATAAATGACAGAGCAGCCAAACAGACAAAAATGAACCTGTTAATTGCAGAATTTTTTTTTTTTTTTTTTCTTCTGAGACAGGGTTTTGCTCTTGTTGCCCAGGCTAGAGTGCAATGGCACAATCTTGGCTCATCACAACCTCTGCCTCCTGGGTTCAAGAGATTCTCCTGCCTCAGCCTCCCGAGAAGCTGGGATTACAGGCATGTGCCACCATGCCCAGCTA